AATAAATTTTATTGTCTGAAACGAATTATTTGTGACTAGATTCGAGGCATTCGAAGGCCGATTTGCGAGGCAAAGACATAACAGAGTAAAGAATTTCACGCTCTGAGGTAAGTAACAATTTTAAATCTTGTCCTAAGGAACCCCGGATTTTGGTATCATGCGATTATTTTGGAGGTGACGCACATGCTAGGTGACGGACGTATGGGCGTGCACCGAGGGGATTGCGACTTGGTCCGTCCCGAGAAACTGTAAAGTTGAATAATTTGTTGTTAGCTATATGCTCTCTATGTGTTTATAAAAATTTGATTGTAAATCATATTAGAAATCATGCTTAGGCTATGTGATAGTACTGTTGGGACCCACAGAGGTCGCATACTTGTTGAATTGCTTGCTAAATGCTATATGTACTCAGTCTCTGTTATTATTATTGATACATTATATCATTGTTGTTTGGGTTGATTTCATGATTTATGAGAGCCCGAGAGACTGGAGAGATTTATGACTGAGTGAGGCCGAGGGCCTGATTGTGAGATATTGATACTATAGCACGTGAGTTGTCCGTGCAGCACGTGAGTTGGCCGTACAGATCCTTATATTATACTATAGCACGTGAGTTGGCCGTGCGGATCCTTATATTATACTATAGCACGCGAGTTGGCCGTGCAACACGTGAGTTGGCCTTGCGGATCCAGATATTTATATTATGGCACGTGATTTGTCTGTGCAGATTATAGCGCTTGGGCTGTAGGAGCTCCTCCAGAGTCTGTACACCCCTAGTGAGCGCGGGTACCCATTGAGAGTGAGTGATTGTTGTCCTCAGAGGTTGTACTTGATTTTCATTTGTTGTTGCACTTAGTTGCTATCTGTCATTGTTGTGAAATTTCTGAAAGATTGTTGATATACGGATTACATGAACATGAACTGTATAAAAATTGATTTGACATTAAACTGCCACATTTGATAGCATGTCTATTCTTTGCTGGAATTACTGGAAATGAACCATAACTGTATAACTCGTTACTATCTTCAGTTTCTTATTTATTATTGTTACTTGCTGAGTTGGTTGTACTCATACTACACCCTGCACTTCGTGTGCAGATCCAGATATTCCCGGACATAGCGGGTGTTGATCCTTTCGCGCGGTTGATTCTCAGGAGATTTTGAGGTAGCTGTCGTGTTTCGCATACCTTGTCTCTCCTTCTCTATCTCTTTGTTTACTGTATTTGGTCTCAGACTATTATGGACTATATTTTTCAGACTTGTATTCATATTAGATGCTCATGTACTCAGTGACACCAGGTTTTGGGGAGTGTTTGTATTGTATTTAAATATTATATTTTTAACCTTAAAGAGAAGTTTTGGTTTATTGAGATTATCGGCTTACCTAGTATCGAAATAGGCGCCATCACAACAGGTTGGGATTTTGGGTCGTGACAATTCTACATAAATAAACACTCTCTTTTAGTGTTATGGTTGGACAATGCTTTTATCAACCTATATTGTTTTATACTTCTTAAATTAGAATTTTGAAACTAAAGTCATTTAAAAAAAGGAGGAGCTGAACACTTCTATAATAGAAGCCAATATTTCAATTCTTCGTCAAAAATTCTTGATAGTGTCGAGGTCTGCGAAGGTAAAATTTTTGTTTTGAGGTAAATTTTCTGACTTTTAGATTATTCTTAAAGTTTTGTAATAATATACGTTTTTTAGTTTTGTAGTAACAAAAGTTCTTGTAGTTTTGTACATAGCTATCAATTCAAGTATGTAATTTAAAAGTTAAAATATTTATTTTTCGTGAACATGTAATTTGCTGTTTTATGAAGAAATTATGTATAAAAAAAAGTAACTATATGAAGTTAGAAACCAATGAACCTTAAAGATTTTAGAATTGCGCAATCAAACTTAATACGGAAAAATATAACAAATTAGCATGTTTATTTTCCGTAGACATGTAATTTGCTATTTTATGAAAAATAGTAAGCAATTACATGAAATTAGAAAAATTGAGCCTCAAATATTTAAAAATAGAACAATTAAACTTCTTAGATAAATATATAATAAATTTAGTACAGTTGATAGTGTGCATGGCTGAAGAATAGGAAAGAGATGTAATTGGCCTAATTAATGGTAAAAAGGGCAGCTCGGTGCACTAAGCTCCCGCTATGCGCGGGGTCCGAGGAAGAGTCGGACCACAAGGATCTATAGTACGCAGCCTTACCTTGCATTTCTGCAAGAGGCCGTAGAATATGAATGCCACAAAAAATTTACAATCTTAGAACATAAATTCAGTAATAATTGATAAGGATCTAAAATACATCTGCTGATCTGCACCTTAATGAAGTCGTTGGGCTTGTTTGCCCGAGCTCTCAAAATTTATTTATATTTTTTTGAGTTGTTTTACCGTTCTCATAGTATTTCTATTGATTAAAGAAATAGAAGAATTTATATTTTTCCTTCGATGAAAATAAGATTTATGTCAGTTAGTTGACCTTGATTGTGTTTATAGAATGAATTTAAAAATATATACTTTTCAAAAGAAAAATCAGAAAAAACTCTTATATCTTCGAGGTTTTATGTATTCTTACTAAAACTAAAAAAGAAGCATGAAAACTTGTGAAATACTAATGAAATTATAAAGATGGAATAAACTTTTAGTTGAATATGTTAGACCTAGATGATTAAGGACTTTTGTGTCACCATTTCTTTCTTCGTTAAATTAGCTATATAGTACAAAAATAATTATTTTTTAGGAACTTGCTCTTTTTTTCCCAACTATTTGATTGTTCAAGTACCATTCGTTAATATAATATTAATGTAATTTTTAAAATTATGGATGGGTACACGCGCAACGTGCGTATCCTAAGACGAGTTATTTGAAAAAGTTCAAGCATACGACGAGAACAGCAATTTCCTACATGCAGACAAGAAAATGTGCAACATATCTCACATACCTTAAGAAATCATTTGTTTATTGATTTACAGATTAAGTAATTTGAATAAGGACCAAAAAGGAAAGCCAAAAGAGGAGAATGTCAAAATTTTATGTGATCTCAAACATGTAAAATTAGAAATATTTGATCTAAAACATTGGATCAAAAAGAAAAAGAGACTCCTCAAATTTGTTAAGTGGGTAAACGCATGCGAGTTTCATAAATATGTGAGTGTAGTCAGAATTTTGCACACTGTAGCTAAAGAAGCAGATAAGAATTGGAACAGAAGAAAATATACGTATTTTCATAAATTTCGCTACAAAAATACAAAAAATATTCTTAGACTTATTGTTCCAAGAGAATGGTATGATAGAAGAAAATATTACACACAAAATTAGAATCGTATGGTTGAAATAGTAAAAATATTTATACGTTAGTATAAAATATAAAGAACATCTACTAAATTTTAATTTTTATATTTGTTATTATTTTTATTTTATAAATATTGGCTTGAGATAACTTTAAATGGAGTAACATGGTTAGTGATAATTTATTTCAATTTATTTGGGACTGGGTCGTTGTTGTTGTTTAGGTACGTTGACCTATAATAACAAGTAATTTTACATATCAAGTCTAATGTGATAATCTGAAAAATAAAGTAATAACTTGTTATAACCGTTCGCACAGATAATTTAAGAAGTCTTTACACTGTAGTGGACATAATAAAAGCTTGTAATATTTTTGTTATAGCATTCGGAAACAAACAAATCGCAGCATATCAATTTGAAACTTGTTGTTCTATACAAAAATTTTGCTTAAATATAGGTTCATTTGGGTATAGGTGTAAATATTATGTTATAACACTAATTTTTGTTTCTTGTTTTATAAGGATGTTAATATTTGAAGAAAGGCAAAAAAAAGAAAGTTAAAAGAGGAGAATATTATTGCCCGTGGGGACATCATGCTCTTGGTTTTACATTCATTTTGTACACTATTAAAATTTTATATCATACATTTAATAAAATTTGTGACCTCAAATATTAAATTAATAAAAGTGACTCAGATTTGTTAAAATGTGGGGCAACGCATGCGAGTTACATAAGTGTGTGTGTGTGAATAGCTTTATATAGTCAGAATTTTGCAAATCTTAGCAAAAGATGCAGATAAGAATTGGAAAACAAAAAAAATATATTCATATTTTCATGAATTTCACTACACAAATAGATAAAAATTATCTTTAACTAAAAATAATCTAAAACACTAGTTCTATCACTCTATGACCTATGTCTTCATAGGCCTAATACTTTCTTTGGTCAACAACTTGATTTCTGCAAAAGTACTTCACATGCATCTGAAGTCATCGCTAGTATTCCAACATTGCTACTTGGCTCGAACTCAACTTCCAAACTTTCACAAGTGACTTGTAGTTTTCCACAATGTAAGGAGTGTTGTGTCTTATGGTGGCTTATTTGAACTTTTCCGTTCAAATTTATTGTGAATTTTGTGGAATGACCAGAAGCAAGATTATTTATAATGGTGTCGACAATCCAATGATCATAACTTTTAGGCAAAGCACCAAAAGCTGTATCGACGAAGTTTTGAGCTTTCTCATCTTGATAAAACATAGGAGCAGCATTAGCTTGCCAAAAAATGTATCGTTGTAGGTAATTTTGGCATCAAAGTCTTCATAGAGGAAAGTATGATCATCGGTAGGGTTCTTGATTAAGAAAGTGAGCTTCCAACTCTCAGGATTGTCCAATGTTGATGGTGGTGGGGTGCTTAATATAGAATAAAGTGAAGAAGAGACATATATAATACGAAAATTAGGGTCTTGGACTTCTTTAGTAGCCCTAGAGTCTTGAACTTCTTTAGTAGTCATTGGAAAGTATAAATACAAAGCTAGTACGACACCCAATGCTATAACTAGTAGTCCAATCAGTATGCCCGATGCTAGATCATACCAAGATATTTCGGCCGAATCAACTGTTTTAATATTATCGGCAGATTTTTCCATTTCTTAATTGACAAGAGTGGTAAAGTAATATCAGAGAAGAAGTTAGAACTCGAAATTGCAGGTAGCAAATTTGTGATGGAAATTTATGTTGGTATGGTGGGTTTATATAGATGGTACCACGGCCAAATCCGACTTAAAAAAGGATTTACGCTTTTAAATCCAAATTGGAGTTGGAAAAGGAGAAGTAACAACTAATTACAGGTGTAACGTCTTTTTGTCTGCGTTTCTGTAATTAGAAGGAAAATTAAAAATAATATATAGATTAATAGTAATAATTTGAGGTTTTCCCATTTCGTTTAGTTTTTTCGCGTGACAACTCAATCCCCTCTTTCTCTCTCTTCCTGCGCGGCATCACGTTTGATTCCTTATTTTTATTCTCTCTCTGCGGTCCACCTAGTTTTGGGTTTCAGAAGAAAAGGTAAGCTCCTTTTTACAGATCCATTTTAGAATCTTCAATTCTTCTTCTTCGTTCAATTTATTAACTGCTTTTCAACGCCTTCGATTTGTTTCCTATTTACATCTGTATCCAGTCGCCTGCTTTTCAGTTTACTTGTATGTCCCCTGATTGCTCTGTATCACTGTTGTTATAGAGCGTTGACATTTTATGCTTGTTGTGTTACTGAATAGATGTAATCATGTTTTGTATTGATTAAGTGTGAAGTAATTGTACTATTTATAGGCGTATATATATCAGCCAGTGCCATTATAACATTTATCCTAGTTTAAGATTAATGACTAGTTGATTGATTGATTGCCAGCATATACATTGCTGATTTTATAATTTACTCTGTCCGAAAATGTTTGGCACTTTTTAACTTTAGAGATTCAAACTAAGTGATATTTGACCAGATTTTAAAATGTCTTTTTTGCTCGTTTTGATATGAGGAGAATTGCGACTTATAGAATTCTTTTATCTAGTTTTTGAATATTTAAAATTTAAAAATATAAAGTAATCTAATCAGATTTAACTCAGGAAGTAGTCGAATTGACCTACATAAGGTAAAAATTGCTACACAAACTGTGACCACAATTCTTATCCTAGTTACATACTGAGGTATAGTTAATGGTTGATTCTTGGTGTATTATTGTTCATCTTGACTTAGGTAAGGAAAAATTGCTAAACGAATTGTGACGACAACTCTTATCCTAGTTTCTTATTGAGTATAGTTGATGATTGATTTTGGTGTATTATTGTTCATTTTTCTTTTTGTTTTGTTATTCAGGTTAAGCATGGGCGAGGCACAAAACAATATCGACATGGACGAAGGAACCCTGGAGGTTGGAATGGGTACGTTTATACTATCCTCTTCTTTTTAGCCCCTTCTGTTTGCTGGATTGAAGTCTATTTATGATTGTCATGATATAGATAAGAGCTAAGTTAAACGTGCTGTATGAGCTGAATGCCTCCGGGGTCCTTGCTTTACTGATAAAGTTTTCTCAAGTTGAGAGAGACGTGCACTTAAAGCCCCTTCTGATTTTCTTTTGAGTAGTTTGCATGCGGATAAGAGTGGTGTTTCCATTTCCTGATTTTAGCAGACCTCATTTATTAATCAGAGCAATCATTTCATTAGTATTCAATAATTTTTGTAGTTAGCAGGATTTAATTGGTAAATACTAGTATTAAAAAGTAAAAACCATGAATAGAGTGTGATGTACCTTCTGGTCATATGCTGGAATGAGAATATGTAATTAGATTATCAATAATAAATTTTTTCTGGTTCTCTCTTATTGTGTAACTTTCAGTCTAAACTCAGACATTTGTTAAAAATTTCTATGTAAGACTGATGGTGACTTAAGTCAGCGTTTCATCAAAAAAAAAAAAAAAAAAAAANATTTTAGCAGACCTCATTTATTAATCAGAGCAATCATTTCATTAGTATTCATTAATTTTTGTAGTTTGCAGGATTTCATTGGTAAATACTAGTATTAAAAAGTAAAAACCATGAATAGAGTGTGATGTACCTTCTGCGCAATATGCTGGAATGAGAATATGTAATTAGATTATCAATAATAAATTTTTTCTGGTTCTCTCTTATTGTCTAACTTTCAGTCTAAACTCAGACATTTGTTAAAAATTTCTATCTAAGACTGATGGTGACTTAAGTCAGCATTTCGTCAAAAAAAAAAAAAGAAAAAAAAAAGAACAAAAGAACAAGATATGGAAGGTGACTCCTAATGCTGTGTAAATTGCAGAATATAGAACTGTCTCGGGTGTTGCTGGACCACTTGTTATCCTTGACAAAGTTAAGGTAATCAGTGTGCACTTTGCTTTTGATATATTTTTCTTTTTTTTTTTGGTTTAATGTAGTTTGCTGTAGCTTTTGTGTTAAATGCAACTGGAATAATGTGTGCATGTGTTTCTCTTGTCAGGGACCCAAGTACCAGGAGATTGTTAATATTCGTTTGGGAGATGGAACAACTCGACGTGGGCAAGTTCTAGAAGTTGATGGGGAAAAAGCAGTTGTTCAGGTTTATTATTCTTTAGCATCGCTTATGGCTAGATTTGACTTTAGACTATTTTATCTACTAATAATTAGAACCTTCCAACAATTCTATAAAAATTGAATCTGCTAACGCGTGGTCATTTCCTCTTCTACTTTTACCAGGTTTTTGAAGGAACATCTGGAATTGACAACAAATACACGACTGTGCAGTTTACGGGGGAGGTACTTTATAACTCATTTTTTGCTCCTGACATTTGCTCCCAAGAGAGGTCGAGCCCTTCCCCAAGCCCTGCGTGAATGCAGGATGCTTTATGTACCGGGCTGCCCTTTTACTTTTGCTCCTTAAAATCTAATCAACATAAATCACGAAAAGAAGGTCCTTTGTTTTCATGACTTTCATTCAGGTCCATTAACATTGGACTGGAGTTATATGCAGTCTCCCTTTTTAGTCTTTTGATCTTCTCTCTTGCATTCAAAGCGTTGTATATGGCATGCAAATACTTGTCGAGCACAATAACCTTGACATAGTGTTAACATGCAACTTGTTTTGCATTTGCTCAATAATGGAAAACAATAAGAATGAGATGGATCAGCAAAGTAGGTACTAATCATATGGGCTATTATCGCCGATCAAAAATAAAATCATATGGGCTATTATCAATTTTTTTTTTGTAGAGAACATATTGCTTCTTTGCTTCTACTGATTTAGCATTTTCACTACTTTGTAACAGTTAACATCATGTTTGCAGGTTTTAAAGACACCAGTCTCACTCGATATGCTTGGACGCATCTTTAATGGTTCTGGAAAGCCTATTGACAATGGTCCTCCTATTTTACCTGAGGCCTACAGGGATATTTCTGGCAAGTTCTTAGTTCAAGCAAGTCCAGCTTTGGTTCTCATATAAGATTTCTCCTTTAATATTGTGCTACATGTAACTTGTCCATCTTAGGGAGTTCTATCAACCCAAGTGAGAGAACATATCCTGAAGAGATGATACAGACCGGAATTTCAACAATTGACGTCATGAATTCAATTGCTAGGGGGCAGAAAATTCCTCTTTTCTCTGCTGCCGGTCTCCCTCATAATGAAATTGCTGCCCAAATCTGTCGGCAGGCTGGTCTAGTGAAGAGGTTGGAGAAGTCTGAAAATCTTCTTGAGGTTAGTAACTTCTTGTATTGTACTCCAACCTTCCATTTCTATACAACTTTCACAGATTGTCAAACTATAACCATTAGAGTATATTAGAGAACCCCTATTGCTAGATAATCCTAAAGTACGAGTATTAAAATATTATGGATCCAAACAGAGTATTTATGATTTTGAGGATTCATTAAGCCGACCCAACTAGCTTTCTTTGGGTCAAACTACTTTTCAACCTTGTCTTAAACTCCATACCCAGTAAAATACTGTTTTGTCTTATGAAATGGAACAAGTAGCTATTGTATTTCCAACATCCAAATATGCTGATAATAGGAGGTCTGCCGCATTGCTTGAAATGGTCATTGAAACATGAACTGTCTTTCTAAAGCCTAAATGCGATATTGGTGGATTTAAGAATTTTATTGTTATCATTTAACACGATAGCCTTAGGTTACTGCATTGAAGGACCTCGTCACAGCATTACATCCAAGATGACAAAGAACAAAATATACGAGTCTGCATTTTTTTTCTTTCTCTTCTTGTAAAGTTGATTAACATATATCTCTAAAAGAGAAAACTGACTTAGTGTTAAACATTTTCAGAAAGATGTGAAAAACTGTTAGTTCCTCTCTTATTCCTTCTCCAATCTACCAGTGAATAGCTGGACTTGTGCTTCAGTTTCCACATTTTTGTGATTGAGTTGGATTCACATTGATGTAATTCTCAATTTTCTTCCTTGGTGTCCCAGAAAAGTGAAGATGACAATTTTGCCATAGTCTTTGCTGCTATGGGAGTGAACATGGAAACCGCACAATTTTTCAAACGAGATTTTGAGGAAAATGGATCCATGGAGAGAGTGACACTTTTCTTAAACCTGGTAATGCTTGGATTTCGACTCTGGCTGACAATTAAATATTTTGTTCTCCAAGATAATAATACTTTTTTAAGGTGAAGCTCATTCTTATCTCCTATGTTTTTTTCTCATAGGCAAATGATCCTACAATAGAACGTATTATTACTCCCAGAATTGCTCTGACAACTGCAGAATATTTAGCATACGAATGCGGGAAGCATGTGCTTGTCATTTTAACTGATATGAGTTCATATGCTGATGCTCTCCGTGAGGTATTGTTTTTCAAGAGTATGTCATAGCCTTTCAGATTTATCTACTCATGATTGTGTTTTATATGGATCTTTTGTTATAACTTAATATCAGTACAGCTCGGTTATGCAGTTTTATCTAGTGTTTTGAAAGCAAAAACCACAAAAAAGGTGAAGAGGTTCATGGGAATTGAAGCGAAATGCAATAAGTGAAGTGCACGATTTATGGAAATTAAAAAGAACACAAACATTTGTGGATTTAGTACTTCACTAATCACCTGATTAAAAAAAAATTAGTACTTCACTAATCAAATTGCAATCAAAATAAGTAGCTTCAGCATCTCATATACAAGTTTACAACCATACCATTTTAATCCATCTCGTCTAAATTGAGATTTGAAGAATCTGCAGCTTCTCGTTTGGATCACTTTGTGCGTCGTCGTTCGAAGCACACACTTCTCTGAAGTGCATGGCTTCACTTCTCGTTTTGCATCACTTCGTTGCTTTAAGTGATAAATTGATGGATTTTAATAACGCTGGTCTTATTAGAAGTTCTGTGTTTTCGTTTTAGACTACTGGGATCATACAATTCTCATCCTCTCACAGGTATCTGCTGCCCGAGAAGAAGTGCCTGGAAGGCGTGGATATCCTGGTTATATGTATACTGATCTGGCAACAATCTATGAACGAGCTGGGCGTATCGAGGGAAGGACGGGCTCCATCACGCAAATTCCAATTCTGACCATGCCAAATGATGGTAACTCACTGTCAAGCAATTCTTTTTTGGTTATTGCTTTTACTTCTGATTTCACAGTTATATTTGTTTACAAATCCCTACTTTCTGTTGTTTTGAACAGATATTACACACCCAACTCCAGATCTTACAGGTTATATCACAGAAGGACAAATATATATAGACCGACAGCTTCATAACCGGCAGGTATTATATATCTCTAAGGCTGAGTACTCATACACACTACCAAAAAGGGTAAAATTGTTGATTGTTATAGATCTTACGAGTAAGTGAGCGTTAATCTAGCTAAATTAGGTTATTTTTAGCTCTACTTTCTCAATCTTTTACTGTTGTTGATGATAGGAAAGCATTGATTTATGATGTTTCTCTAGATTGTTAACCTGAATTTAGTTTACCCTATTTTCGGAAACTAAGATAAGAAGGGAAAGGACCAGAAATGTTCTAGAGGGAAAATAGACAGAAAGGGTAACAATGATTAATGAACTCTTTGTTCTATTGTTAAGCTAAAACGTGGGAAAATTTGTGAATTTTTAACTTCTACTTTCCCTTCTCTTCTCTTCCCTCAATTCCAAACCTCAGAAAAATGGATAAGTAAATAGTACTTAAGCAGAGAATGTTATTAAACCCCTTTTCATTTCTTCCTTAGGAAGGAATTTGAACCAATGTGTCTCCTCTTCCTCTTATTATGTCAGTGTAAATTATGCTCTAATGTAAGACTTGATACTTTTATATCTTGCACTTGCACTTGCACATTGCCCTACACCTCTCCTGAACTGCACGCCACTAGTATTTAGAACTTCTAATTTACTTTCTAATTGGATTTTGGTAACCGAAATGAATATCGGGAAATGACGCATAGGACTTAAAGCGAGCTATTGTACTTGTATGGTGATAACCCATAAGGCCAGGCATTACGCTTTCCATGTCTTAGTTCTATTTTTCCCATGAAAGCCTTGATGTCATCAGATTCACCAGACATAGGCTTAATTGGCCAATTTCATCCTTGCATCTTAAGATAATCATTTGATGTTCATTTTTCAAAATGCTCGTAGGAGTGTGTTCAGTCAAAGGACATGTAAAATGGGAATCTAACTTAATTTTTGAGTAAATTTGCTTACTTTCAGAAAGTGAAAAAGACTTGCCAGAAAAAGAAAAATCATGTACAGTTATACTTTGGAAATTACGGTCATTCATGTGAAACAAAAAGATTTTTTTCCGGTGAAACAGATTTTTTTTTCTTTGCAGTAGACCATCCATTGTTTGTAATGCTTCATTCAATAACAGACTAGTACGTCGAACACTGAAGCAAGAATGTATGTGAAATACCTTACCTGATAAAAAGAGAATGTTTGTGTCTTTGTGAAGTACCCAGTTACTGTAAACGGCCCTGTTGCTTGCTAAGTCAAGTTTTTCTTTAATTTGGCAAATTGTCAATTCACACCACTAAAGAAGATTGCCACTACTGTTACTAGCCATTATCGTATGTCTTTTATTTCTTGGATAGCATTTGGGTTTTGAACAGAAATGACTCAAAAAGATTGTTTCCCTTTTGAACTGTAACAGATATACCCTCCAATTAATGTGCTTCCGTCCTTATCTCGGTTGATGAAGGTGAGCATGTGGACCTGTTCATTTTCTAATCTTTCAGACGCTTCTAGCAATTATAAAGGATGCCTAACATGTGATTATTCTAATTCAGCCTTTAAATATTTTTGCAGAGTGCCATTGGTGAGGGTATGACCAGGAGGGATCATTCTGATGTATCCAACCAGGTAAGTTGGAGTTTTGGTAGAAACGTATTTCATTGCTAGATTCATCTTCATTCCTTAAGCAAAGTTGATCTCTTTTACCTCTTAATGTTGCTAATTTTTACCTTTTGCATTGATCTTAAAATACTTTAGTTGTATGCAAATTATGCAATTGGAAAGGATGTCCAAGCAATGAAAGCTGTGGTTGGAGAAGAAGCACTTTCTTCTGAGGACCTGGTATGTAGCTGGCAAAATGTTTTTGGTTTAAATAATTAAGCTGTGTTTTGCCTTTGTTATCAATAATTCAATGATGAGATGACTTGAGACTCCTTCCTTGTTAAAACAGCTTTACTTAGAGTTCCTTGACAAATTCGAGAGGAAGTTTGTTGCTCAAGGAGCTTATGACACCCGCAATATATTCCAGTCGCTTGACTTAGCTTGGACACTTCTTCGCATCTTCCCTCGTGAGCTTCTTCATCGTATCCCAGCGAAGACCTTGGATCAGTATTACAGCCGTGATGCATCTAATTGACGGGAAGGAACTGGCTTTATACTTTAGTCTCTTGTACAATTACCTTGGTGCGAGCTTGACGATACGTTGGATCACAAGCTTTTCCTCTTTGTGCTTCTCCTTTCAGCTAAATAATAAAAATGGAGTATATTTAATGAGTTCCCAAAACAAAAGGCTTTACAGCATTTGGAAGACAATGATATTCCTCTCAGAACCAGTTATATCGTGTAATTTATTATCTGTTTTATTAAGAGGACATGCTGCCGAGTGCCGTGTATTGGTTTTGTTTAAAGTTCAGCAATATTAGGGGCTACTAGGAATTATAAAGCCCTTTTTATGTACGTCAAAGGGCCAAATCTACTTTCGAAAATGGTCTAAAAATATCCCTCGTTATACTATTGGGTTATATATACCCTTCCCGTCATACTTTGGAACAAATATACCCTTATTTTGGATGGAGTGTCACATGGCAGCACCAGATGAAAACGATTCATTTCTTCTTTTTTTTACCTCTATCCGTTTTTAAAAACCCATCACCCGACCCGTTTTTTCAGTTTTGTTAAAGCATATATTTTGTAAAAACTGGAATTTTTTTTTGTAAAAACTGGAAGAAAAAAAAGGAATTTGCAAAATATATATTTTTAAGTCTTTTCAGTTTTTTTAAAGTATTTTTTTTGTAAAAACTGGAAAAAAAAGTCTCCTAAAATAGTGGACTACATATGCATTAGTTTAAAAAAAAATAAAAATATTTTGCAAAATCTTTTTTTTTCTAGTTTTTACAAAAAAATACTTTAAAAAACTGAAAAAAATATATTTTGCAAATACTTTTTTTTTCAGTTTTTACAAAATATATATTTTGCAAATTCTTTTTTTTTTTCCAGTTTTTACAAAATATATATTTTTCAGTTTTTAAAACATTTTTTTAAAAAATATTTTTTTGTAAAACTGAAAAAAAAGGAATTTTCAAAATATATATTTTTCAGTTTTTTAAAGTATTTTTTTTGTAAAAACTGAAAAAAGACTTTGCAAAATATTTTTATTTTTTTAAACTAATACATATGCAGTCCACTGCTTTAGGAGAGACTTTTTTTTTCCAGTTTTTACAAAAAAAAATTCAGTTTTATAAAAAAAATACTTTAAAAAAACTGAAAAGACTTAAAAGTATATATTTTGCAAATTCCTTTTCTTTTTTTTTCAGTTTTTACAAAAAAAAAATTCCAGTATTTACAAAATATATGCTTTAAAAAAATTAAAAAAACTGAATTTTAAAACATGTCGGGTGTTGGGTATTTTAAAACGGATTGGGTAAAAAAAAAATGGGTCGTTTTCATCTGGTGCTATCACGTGGTACTCCATCCAAAATAAGGGTATATTTGTTTCAAAGTATGACGAGAAGGGTATATATAACCCAATAGTATAACAAGGGATATTCTTAGACCATTTTCGAAAGTATAAAGGTATATTTGGCCATTTGCGGTTTTATGTATGAAGCACAATTTATTGTTATAAGCTGATTCTTTTTGAATAACACAGCCTTGGATTAGACATGCTCTAGATTATGAAGTTACTTTTTCATGACGAATCCTGAAAAGTAAGTTTCATCAATTAAAGCAAAATATAAGGAATTTTGGAGTTGAGAAGGCTAGGGCATGTTTGGCCATAAAATATTTTGTCACTTTTTTCCGGAATCAGTGTTTGTTCATGAAAATTTCAAAATTTACTTCAAGTTGAATTTTGAAAAACTCCAAAAAGCTGTTTATCAAAATTTTTACTTCAAATCACTCAAAAAAATTTAAAAACAACTTCAAATTGTATTCATGTCCAAACACAACTCTAATTTTCAAATATCATTTTCACTTTTAAAAAATAAATCATTTTTTTTCGGAATTTTACAATTCTTATGTCCAAACACCTACTATAAAATCGATAGCTTCGCATAGTTGGTTCCAAAGATGATTTTCATTCAGTTAATTTCATTGCAAGAGTCTTAAGACGTCATTGAAAATCCGTATCGGAGTCATGTAAGGTTTATTAAAAGAAAAAACGCCTCCTACCTTAATTTTTAACATTCTCAGAGCTCAGGGATACTATCAATCTCGCCACAAACCTTTGGTGGTCGGACCAAATGTTTTATTAGACGAGTCCGCCTGTTGTAACTGTTGCTTTAAAAGCTGCTAATTTCACAAAAATAATATTTTTACTGCTGTGAACGAGATGAAACATAAAAGATCTGATTTTATGAGTAAGTTGTCTAGTCCAGACCAAAAGGATCTCGTGCGTGCTACCCTGGTAGGGAAAGGAAGCACATGCTGCTAGATGTCAATGCATTTCTAACTGAAGATGTATCGCCTAAATGTGCACATTAAAAAAAAATCGAGTGCACAAAGTATTCTATGTTCGCGTAAGGTTCAGAGAACGGCCGCACCCTAATGGGTGTGATGCAGATAACTTACCCTAATGTTTCATTAGTAACTGCTTCTACGGCTTAAAACCGTGATCACACAGAAACAACTGTACCGTTGCTCCAAATCTCTTATTTATTGCCTAAATATGCACATGCCCCTCTGAAAGTTTTCTCTCCCAAACATATTCATCATTAGCAGTAATGATGCTGGAATAACTGATTTACTTGATTAATGAAATGCACGCATAACTGGCTGGACCTAATTACGTATATTTGCAATAAACAAAGTACATTCAGATCTGCAAAGACCAAGTTATGCCACAAATCCAAAAGCACAGGCACATGCCATGCCACTATTGTTTCAGTAGATAATTAAATTACTCGCTCAAACTGCATTTAGCAGCATTTTGCCACAGAAAAAGTATTGTTAAACCGAACATTAGTATGCACTTTGATAACAAATATTCTTCTTACTTAGTGCTTAACCATATATACAAATTGAATAATCTTAAAACAGGCCTCTGCAAAACAGATTAAACAAAACCCCTCGACCAACCTAACAAAAACCAATACGCATTGTAACATTTTTTCTGTTAACGAATATTTTTTATAACTAAAGAATGGTCTCTTCAGATTCCTACATTTTTACCTATTTCCATTTTCCGGGGCAAGCTCATATTATAAAACTCAAATTCTCCATATTAACCTAGTCTCGATCTCCCTATCTGCTTTTAACATTAGATAAAGAAAACGGAAAAGGGCCAAACCTGCCCCTTAACTATCAGAATTGATATAAAATTGCCTTCCGCCTATCGATCCAAATTTGTGGCTCTAAACTATCCTTAAAACTAACAGCCTATAAATTTTAAGAAGAATTAACTCAAATAGCCGTCCATCCAATTGTTTAAACTAAAAATAGCCGGTGAATGTATAATATATGTATAACTTATGTATTACATGTGTATAATTATATATATTCAATGTATAATCCATGTATATGGCTAGAAAAAAGTAAACAATAAATTTTAATGACATGTCTCATTCTTACTGGACCCTTGCATCTGTCAAACCCACCCTTGGATTTGTCATCAAACTCCACCCTTGGATCTGTCAAACCCACCCATATAGCCCCACCCGTTGGACCGACCCGTATGACAAAAAGAACCGGCCTCTCTTCTTAAAATACACATAGTCCTCCGTTGATTATGGCCCTTCTTCCGGGGCAATTTTGGCCCTTTTCCATAAAAAAAAAAAGTAGTAACTTTTGTTCCCTTCCAATTTTCAATCATCAAAACATTTTACAAAGACCAAATGCGCTATTACCTTTCTTTCGATATGTCTAGTAGTCCTTTTCAAGTTTCATTGAATCGAAGGGGAGAGTTGGCGGGGCAGCCACTTTGCGACATTGTGGCAATTCCAGTTGTGACTTATGTCATAGCTTTCAAACTGAAGGAAAACTATTGTTCACAGATTTATTTGACTACAAACTAGTAGTAACTTCTATTTACTTCTACGACTTCACCTTCACAAGGGTTATTTGGGGCATAAAAAGTACTGGAGGACCACAAGAGGACATCACATGAGCAAGCAAATCACTCAGCTAAACAAAATCACGTGTAAATGTAATATAGTACTAATAATGCAGGCACTAGACATGCAGCAGTTGAACAGCAACCTAGAAAGAGCCAAAATCTCAGCCTCAAAACTGATCCGCCAACTTAGCTGGCCAACACAAGCTCCAAAATTGCTAGCAATACTATTCAAACAAGAGATCTATAGCACACAAAAGTATCTAAAAATTACCCACCAAATAATACTAGTACGTAAAACACAGCTGGAAACAGATTACCCCTTCCACTTGACATCCAATGCCGCATTAGCATCAAAGTTTCAATTCTTTTCCATAATTGTGCCATCACAGTTTCAAGACTCTTTTCTTTTCGGATAAAGAACTTCTATTTTTTTTTTGGATAACCATGGTGTTCAGATTAGCCAGAATTTGAAGCCGAGACTTCGTGGTTCTCAACACACCCTTGGGTGCTCGGATAAAGAGTTTTCAAAGCTNGAAGGGGGGGTACACAGAATCAACAGCATTTCCACCACAAATTTCAATGTAATTTAACTAAAGATGGATTCTTTACTAGTTTAGGCCTTGGAACAAATAACCAAAGATATCTTCTACTACAAGAGACGCAATATATCAAGCTAGAAATTATACAAAGAAACGGAAAGGTCAAAAATGCCATAAAATTAAATCCAATAAACCCGAAAAAAAGAACATAGATCACCAAATAAAACAACAGTACTCTGAAAATAACCTTCATAGTCAATCTCCTAATCTGAAGATGGCTAGTGTTCTTCAGGCTTTCTACATAGAATCATATGCATAGGACTAAAAATCCCTTTATCACCACCTTTAGCCAAATAATCCGCAGTCACAAACAGCATTTTGTGCACATCAACTGTACCCTTAGGTGCAATACCAAGCCATGAAAGAACTGTAACAACAATATGGTTTCTCCAATAAGCAATTCTCCCCATTTTCAGCCTCGTCCACCACGGGTTCGCTGGCGGCTTAGCTAAATCTTTCTCTTTTACTACTTCAAATCCAACTGCCCTAGCCACGTCAGCAATGTCACTGTAATTTCTTAAACCAGGTAATGCATCACCCCTTTCAATACCGTGGATTATCTCTACGTGTTCCGGGTCATCCGAATTGTACAATTCGGTTGTGACCCATTCGTAGGACACGTACATGGATCCGGGTTTCAAGACCCGGTAAATTTCGCTGTATACTTCTTCTAGCTTTGGTGCATGGCATGTTGCTTCAATGGAATAAACTCCGTCGAAACTGTTGTCATCAAATGGCATTTGTAGGAAATTACCACAAACAACTTCACACTGTGAGTCCAGGCCCGCTTTCTTATTGTGAGCCCG